TCCACCGTTTCCTTTTACACCACTAACCAATCACATCAGAGATCACCTGGAGGCAAACCTGGAATCAAAAGACAGAAAGCATTTCATGAATCAGCAGGTCGACGCTTCACCCTGACGTGACGACGGAGCACAGAACAGCGTTTGTATCTGTGAGAGCTTCAGTGGAGACCAGGATCAAGCTCTAAATTAAATGTATTTGAAGGATGAGGTCAAACATAGAGTGTCAGGCAAAGCAACCAGGAAGTATCATGTAAAGGTCAGAGACCAGGACGCCGTCGTGAAGACCTGAAGATCATAAAAACGCTTCCTCACCCTCAATAAACACAAATCAATGATTCAGAGTGAAAATCAACTGAAATGTAGGAAAGACATTTATTCATTAAAATAAGAAAAATGTGCTCGGAATAAACTTAATGCAAATCAAATTTCATTTGAGCAGACTCCATTAAATGTAACAGTTTACTGTGTAATTATTATAATATGGAAAATATAATTGTAAGGTAGTCAAAGTCCGCATTTTTGGGCAGTTTTATTTTGAGTGTAAAGGCGGAGATGAAGCAGAAATACCGACGCTGGAATGAAACATGAGAAGAAACAGTGACAGGAAATAGTCACGTGTGTGTGGAGGAAAACTAAGAAAATGAAGAGGTCGAGGAACAACGGAAACGTGAAACCCAGAAGCCGCAAGCTCCCATCAGGATTGGAACCAGCTCCAGGACCAGCTCGTGAACAGCCAGCCTGCAGTGGGACAGCTTAAAGACCTCGACCAGGAAGCGAAGTGAACGACTCTAAGCTAGCGTTTAGATTCTTCTGTGGGGGTGGGGGGGTTGGACGATGGGGTGGGCATGGACTGCAAAAACAGAGACCTAAATGGCTGTAGCTCAGGAGGTAGAGCAGGTCACATACTGATTGGAAGGTCGGTCGTTCGATCCCAGGCTCCTCCAGTCTGAATGCCAAGTATCCTTGGGCAAGATACTGACCCCAAGATGCTCTTCGATGCATCCATCAGAGTGTGAATGTAGTTAGAAAGCAATAAGTGCACAGAAAGTGCTTGTGAGAATGGCTGCGATTGGGTGCATGTGGTTTAGAGCACTTTGAGTACTCTGGGAAAGTAGAAAAGCACTATATAAGAATCAGTCCATTCACCACTCACTCAAAACATGAAAGAAAGAGAAAAACTCATCAGATCAGTGATCGATTTTTAAACGTGTCCTCGAACCACCCGAGGATCCGCCCCCCAACCGTCTGCAGCAGCTTAAAAATAATCTTCCACAATATTCCCTCCAATTCAAGCCTCCATCAATGAGCTTAAACTCCACGCTTGTTTTTCTGGTTTTCTCCATCCACCCCCCTTCCCTGCCCCCGCCTGATTGCATCACGGCGTCCTCAGCAGGAACCGTGTGGCTGCAGATAATCATCATCATTAGTTTTAGGTGTGAAACAAAC